TCTCATCATCATCATCATCATCATCATCATCATCATCATCATCATCATCATCATCATCATCATCATCATCATCATCAGCATCATCATCATCATCATCATCATCATCATCATCATCATGATCATCATCATCATCCTCATCATCATCATCATCATCATCAGCAGCATCATCATCATCTATCAGCATCATCATCAGCAGCTGCAGCATCATCATCATCATCATCATCATCAATCATCATCATCATCATCATCATCAATCATCATCATCATCATCATCTATCATCATCATCATCATCATCATCATTCATCATCATCATCATCATCATCATCAGCATCCCCCTCCTCCTCCTCCTCCTCCTCCGACTCCTCCTCCTCCTCTTCCTCCACCTCCTCCTCCTCCGATTCCGACTCCGACTCCGACTCCTCCTCATCGTCCCTCATCCTTCGATCCTCCCCCTCCTCCCCCCTCCTCTCTCCTCCTCTCCTCCTCCTCCTCCTCCTCTTCCCTCCTCTTCCTCCGCCTGCACGTCCTCGTCCTCCTCTTCCTCCCTGCTCCGCCACCTCCTCTTCTTCCTCCTCCTCCTCCTCTCCTCCTCCTCCTCCCCCGTCCTCCTCATCCTCCTCCTTTCCTAAATCCTCCGCTTCCTCCCTCCTCCCCTCCTTCCCTCTCTCCTCCTCCTCCTCCTCCTCCTCCTCCTCCTTCTCCTCATCCTCCTCTCTCCTCCCTCCTCCCTCCTTTTCCCTCCGCCCACCTCCGATCCTCTGATGCTGCTGTTGCTCCTCCTCCTCCTCGGGCTGCTCTTCTTCTTCTTCTTCTTCTTCTTTTCTTATTCTTCTTAGTACTATTATTATCATTATTTTCCTCCTCCTCATCCTCATCCTCATCCTTCGCCTCTTCCTCCTCCAGGGGGTGACCACTGGGTTGCTCCAGAAGTGTGATGCGACCCCACGAAGACCAGACGGGGGATCGATGTGGTGCCCCGAATTTCCCGTGGTCTCCCGTGGTGTCCTATGGTGTCCCGTTGAGTGAGATCGATCGTGAGATCGATCGTGAGACCGATAGTGAGATCGAGAGGTGTCCCGCGGTGTCCCGTGGTGTCCCGTTGAATGAGATCGATAGTGAGATCTATAGTGAGATCGACAAGTGTACCGTGGTGTCCCGTGGTGTCCCGTGGTATCCCGTGGTGGCCCGAGGTGTACCGTGGTGTCCCGTTGAGTGAGATCGATCGTGAGATCGATAGTGAGATCGACAAGCGTCCCGTGGTGTCCCGTGGTGTCCCGTGGTGTCCCGTTGAATGAGATCGATAGTGAGATGGATTGAGTCAGAGGTTGGTTCCCCCCCTCTCGCCCCCCCCCACAACATCCTTATTACCCGAAGGGTGGTCGTATAGGTATGCTTGTCAGGATGGAGGGGTCAGACAGGGAAGGGGTAGGAAGAGAAGGAAGAGCACCGGGCTATAGAGCCACCATGCATTGCATTGTTGGCGCCTTTCGGCGAAGCCAAGCCAGCTGCCTTCGGGAGTACTCGGAAAAGCATCGGTGACGCCCAGGTTAATACAACTTTCCCAGTTGCTCAGCTCACAACGATCAAACAGATTCGTATTTGCTCCGTTTCGGCTTTCCAACGACCCAAGACGGCCCGAGAGCGGGCTGCAGCGCAAAGCGAGGCGCTGCGGGGGTGAACCCTGCAGCTCCCTATATGCCGCCACGCTGGTTCCGGGCAGGCTGTGCTGTCCGGCGGAAGGGGACGAGGCGCAGACGCGCGTCCCTGCGGTCAAGCATATCAACGAGGGCGCAGAACCGCAGCACTGCGACTGGTGCGGTCAGTCCCACGACACTCTCACAGTGGATGCGCGCTCGGGCAGTGCCACTATCGGCTGCTGCCTGTGGCTGATGTCCGCATCGAAAGGTCCTGTGGACGCCATGCACTCGAGGGTGGGTTCTTCTATCGAAGGCAAGTGTCCCTCGGTGCCCAGTACGCCCCCGAACCTCGAGTATCCTAAGCGGCGCATGCCCGACATATCGAGATTTAAGGCCTGATGAGACGCCTGCGAGACGGTGATCATTAAGTAATGGCCCTCTCCGCCCAAGGAGAGCTCGAAGCTTTGGGCCTCCATACGCTGACCGTACTGCTCTCTCCACACGAATCGGGCCGTCAACTGGCCGACGACCGCGACCCGCCGAAGAGAATCCTTGCGCGTGAAGGACCTCCAGGGTGAATTGCCCAGCTGCATTGAGAAATTCGACATCACCTGTCAGGCCATGCCACGAGGGGTTGCCACCAAGGGGGTCACCAGCTCTTCGAAGAAACAGACCCCCCTGGACCCCCCATAACCCCGGAGGACCCCCAACGACGTCCAAAAACGTCCAATGCCTCCTCGATCCTCGATTCTCCCTCTGTCTCGAGCCTCGACTTCCAGGAGGTGGTGACACCCGTAGTTGTGAACCCTCTTGGCACTGCCCGAACCTTGCCCCCCGCCCAGTTGGAACCGCCAGCATCGCGCGTGTATGGGCGAATGCGCACAGTCTGGTTGTGGAGCAGAGAGCCGCTCAGCGCCAGGTGCTTGACAAACAGCCCGCACGGCCGCACGCCGTCGGTGTCCAAGACAGCACTCAGCTTGAGCGCGGGTGACTCCTCACGCCGCCAGAAAACGTCCAAATCCACAGCTGCTGGAATCCTACCCTGGATCCAAGGACTGCGGTGGATGTGGATATGTTCCGCCCTCAGAAGCAGGAATGCATCCATACCCACCGCTCCTGAAACGATCCTCGAGGTCCTGGGACCGGATTCCGAGGCTGTGGGATTGATATATTCTGGCGGTGGGCTCCTGCGTATTGAAGGGTGCGCGGAGCAGGATGTACTCGGAGGGGGCCCGAATGTCGTAGCACTCGCCGTCCAGGGCGCACACGTGCGGGTCGTCGTGCACGCTCCCGTTCATGGCCTGGCTTGTCGTCGAGGGGAGGCTCGACGCCGGGGCCCAGGTCGAGGAGATGGAGACGCCCGGCAGCCACGTGAGCGTCGAGCCAGCAGGGTACGCAAACTCCGTGGGGCTCACGAGCTGCAGCACCAGGATCAGCGCTAGAGACAACCTCTGCGACGCAGTCTCAACCTGCAGTCCTGCAATGCAGACCGTCTCTGAGTTGCCACCGCCCTCAAGGGTAAAGCACATGCCCACCGCCAGGAGTGCCTCTGCGTCTGCCGAAACGTTTATTGACGTTGCCCCTGCCTCAATGGCACCACACGTGATCGGTTGCCCCCTCTTTAGGGTGACGGCGTGTGAGAACTGATCCCTTCCCGTGCAACTGGGGGTTGGGCGAGGTTGCGAGACGCTGCTATATTGGACAGCGGGCCCTCGATTTGGATTGTCACTCCAAGAATTAAAACCTTCCAGATTACCAATGAGCACCTCACTGTCAGGGGCGTCCAGTAGGGAGCGGAGGGTGCTTCTGTTCCTGACCATGGGTGTACTGTCCAAAGATGATCCCTGGAGCGTTGACAAAGAATTCATCACTCTGAAAGGTTGCTTACGGGAAGGACATGTTTTCGGCTTGGACAATGGATGGACAATCGAAGGGTTTCACCATCAGGATTGTGTCAGTGCCCGAAACTGCTTAGCCTGACGGCCAATGAAGCTCGCGATGCCTCTATTCGGCCTGGAGTCTCTATTGGCCTGGCGCCCGGTGAAGCTCGTGAAACCTTTTTTTCTGCCTGAAACGTCGACTCGGGACGCATCTCTTCGGCCCCCCTGAGAAGATTCTGGTGCGAGGAAACCATCGAGCAGTATTAGAACCCTCCAGCGAAACTCGACCAGGAAACATAGCATTCGGGTCCCATGAATGTGGCAATATGTAAGAACAGACGTAACACTCATAGGATTCGAGCCACAGTCAAATGGCAATCGATAGGAGCATAGGTAAAACACACTGCATTCGAGCCCCAGGAAAATGAGTCAATATATAGGAGCAAACGTGGGCACAACTAGGAGTCGAGCCACAAGAGAGGGGCAATTGATTTGAACATGCGTAAAGCAATGGCATTCGACCCCCCCCAAAAAAAACAATAGGAGCATACGTGAAACATCGAAGATTCTAGCCACAGAAGAAGGGCAAGTGATAGAAACATGCGCACAACATTCGGCATTCGACCCCCATGACAGAGGCATTTGAAATAGCATCGGCCAAACGCACCATTGTGAGTCGCATTTCCGGACCGATCGATACCCCTGGAACCGATGCAAACACATATGGCTCTGACCCACTGCCCATCCTACCTGTGCATTCATACTATCCCAGCCAAGCCGATATCGGTCCCCCTTCAGTTCCCTTGCGAAACAAATTATGCGCGCGCACTCGTTTATCAACAATCATAAGATTAAACAATCCCTGACAAAACAAGTGACGAAATGCGCAAGCACGCGTCGTCGCGCGCATGCCGGATTCTTTCAAAAACGCTCGGCTTCGGAAGGATTTTAAATCGAACGTCCGAACAGCTTACAACAACATATGGTTCCGCAACACACATGTTCAACAAAAGCGTGCGCGCGCTCTTGCGAATTCTTAAGAAGACCATGCGTCATCCGAATCGTTCGGACGCCCTTGCGCGCGTGCTGGAGAGGCCCGATCCGTGTCAAATAATACCACGTGAGCCACTTTAGCGCGTCTGCCGCGCGCGCATTTCGAACTCCTTCTGAAACCTTCATCACCGACATCACCGACGCAGAGACGCCGTCATCGTCGTCGGCGTGATCAATATCGGCGCCGTATTGGCTGCCCCGCCGTCGCTGTCAGCATCGTCGCCTGCATGGCTACTATCATCATCGTGTATGCCGTTGTCGACGTTGCCATGGTACCGCGCCCGCCCAAGTCGCCGACTCGCATTGAAGTGCCGGCTGGGATGTGCCGAGCGGTCAGCGCCAGGGCGTTCGCGTCGGTCGCGCCAAGCTAGCTGGCCGCTGCGCGCGCGAGCGTGCGCGGGCTAGCGCGGACGCAGACATGCACCAGCCAACACCCAGCACTCATCACGCTCGTTCCCGCATGGGTTTTGCAAACCAGGTTGCGGGTGGGTGGGTGGGTTGATTGCGCGAGCAGTTGGCACGCGAATTGCACGACATACAGTGCACCACGTAGATTGCAGCGCGTAGGTTGCACGATATGTTTTTGCGCCTCCGGCGCGCTCTTTGGTCGCGCGCTAGATTGTCTCTCTCCTTTTTTCCTGAAGCGGAATTAAAATCTCCCGCCCTGGATTCTCCGCCCGCCCCAGGGATGCGCAGTTTATATGCGATTCCTCCCCATTGTCCACCCTGGATGCAATTTCGCACCATCACAAACCAACAAGTATCGGACCCACCCCATGAAGAAAGAATTCGGGCGATGGGGAATCTGATATATATATATATATACACATACATCCCCAGGACGAAAGTTTTTCCTCTTGGGCCCGGAGCGAAGGTTTGAAGTCTTAAGCAGACGCGTGTGAGTTACCCGCCGTCGGATCCAATGAAGTTCGCGCGGGTCAAATGTTGGTTTTGGTTTGAATTTCAATGGATCCGATTCCCGTCCGCGCGGATCCGATTTCGGATTTGTTGGATCCGTGTCCTGTCTTATTTTTCACGGCGGATCCGATTTCTACCCTGTTTTAAATTTACATTATTCAATTAAAACATGGAACCGGAAGAAATCGGATCCGCGGACCCCGCAAACTGGCCGCGTTAGTATTATACGGGGGATGGGGGGTTCGGTAATCAACTTTCCACGATGGGCGCTGCGTCGTCTCGCGCACTCCCATCAACTCCCCGCGCGAGCGGGTCCCATTCAACATGAATACATACATCCCTCTCACCCCGGTTGCTGCCCCGCGCGAGCGGGTCCCATTCAACATGAATACATGCATCCCTCTCACCCCGGTTGCTGCAAACAGCTCGTCAGGTCGCCGTCCGTTCGGCGGCGCCGACGTTGTCTCGCGAACTCCCCGTGACCATTTTCACCTCAAGAGGAAAATCGTTCGTCCTGCATAAGTATATATGTACGCAGGCACATGTTAGTCTGTATGTATATGTATAATATGTAAACATACGCAACCTGTCCCCTCAGCGAGCGATCGCTCTGATGGTCGTCGTCCTCCCTTTCGCCACTCTACTGATCCTCCTACCCCTCCTTCTCCCTCTCCTTTTCCTCGCCGCTCACCTCCTCATCGTCCTGATTTTCCTCCTCCTCCTTCTCCCGCCCCTGTTCCTCCCCCCTCTTCCTTGCGCTCGTCCGCCTCCTCGCCCTCATCCTCCTCATTGTCCCCCGCCTCGGCCTCCTCGCCGATTGGCTGGGAGGGCATCCGCCCCATTATGGTTGCAGGCCAACGGATTGCAACCCAAACGATATCAAACGAATATATTGCAAGGCGACCGATAGCACCCCAATCGATCTCAACCCAATGGATCGCAAGCCAACCGATTGAAAACCACCCGATTGCATTCCAATGGGCCCACACAGCGAACGATCATTCCGATGATCCGTCTCCTGCTCCTACTGCTGCTGCTCCCCCTCCTCCTCCGCTTCCTCCTCCTCCTACCCCTCGCCCCCCGCCCCTCCTTTTCCTTGCCCGCCCCCTCGCCCTCGTCATCCCATTCTGCCTCCGCCTCAGCCTGGGCGGGTGCAACCATCTGTAATTTGCTGTGAAATGAACGTTTTTTGTTTAAAAGATATTGCCGGCTACTTCTCCCCCCGGCGCAGGCGCCGCAGCGCGCCGCGCCAGGCGCGCAGACATGCCCCGCGCGCGTCGCGACGTCTTCGTGGCCCAGGTGTCGGGATGAACTTAAACGCACTTCCTTGACTTCTATACGAATAGCCACGGCAACGTAACAGGCGAACTACGACGTTGCACCGCCGAATTCACCGCGCCACCACAGCGCGGGACTTCGTGCTCGCGAAGAAGATGCACAGGGGCACCCGTGACGGGCGCGCTGGCGACCAGTAGGCTGGTCGCCGCCACGAATGCCGAATTTTGGGCCACGAAGCAACAGCGTGACCAGACCCCAAAAGACCACCGCTGGGACCAGATCTAGCGAAAGGCGGGAGGGGCATCCTGTTTGGGATGCCCTTTCCAAGGGGCCCCGAGACGGCCGACGAGGCCACCGCCCCCCTCCGCGAGACCGAGGAGCCCCCAGGACCGCAAGACGACCCGACAGGCCCCCAAGACGGCCCCTCGGCGGCCCCGAGCAGAAGCAACGCGACACGGCAAGGCAACGCGCAACATCCAACCAACGAGAAATAGCAACATGCAGCGACAATGCAACCTTAACGCGTAGCAGTGGGTAGACAAGTGCGCGCGTGCCTTGCGCGCAAGAAATCCAGCTTCTCGGATGACCGCGTTGGCGCGGATATCGCAAAAGAAATAACACCACATGCACATTGGCAACCGAACGCTGGCACTGCTGAGGGGAACCGGGCCACCAGCGCGCTTGACATGTCGCTTGTGGCCATAGTGCAGTGGGCTGAACGACATTATCTCCCGTTGCGCGCGGGCGCTATCGCACGCCTCGCCTGCGCGCATGCGTGCGCTTTCCTGTCAGAGAAGGATGGGCGCCAAGACGACGGGGAATCGCGGCGAGACGGCAATCCATGACGCATCGGAAACGTAGGGCATTCGCGAGGAGGATGAGCTGCAGCGATTTACACAAAGCGCGTGGCATCGGCATGATGAAGAATAAAGGGGGGAGGAGGAATGAGGAGGAGAAGGAGGAGGACCACTGTAAACCCTAGATTCATCAACGATGCTGGAATACCCCCCGGAGCTCCCTCTTCATGGGCCCCTGCAAAATCATATAAGGGTTCATTTCCACCGTGGAAACTGCCCCGTTTGAAAATGCTTTTTCGCCGAAAGGGGCTGTAGAAGATAAGCAATGAATCAATGCAACACCGCTCTGCTCCTGATATGCTGCGCTACTACATCCACCTACCTACCTACAATGCAACGCCGCTCTGCTCCTGCTATGCTGCACTACTGCACCCATCTACCTACCGACCTGTCCACAGCTAGTCCGACGGATGGGGGGGGTTCTTCACCCCTCCCCACTGCGAGAGAACCCTGTGGGTTGGCCCACAGTGCAAGCAGCCGAAAAAAATGTGTCTACCCCCAACGACTACCGGTAGCGGAGCCGTGGCGATCCAGCGTGACCAC